AAAGGGGTTAAAAACAAGTCCACAGGTTGCTAAGGTGTGGAGAAAATAGACTACTGGATAATGAAACTCATAACTACTGAGTGCTTCCCTGTGCTCAGACTTGTTCCAACAATTCTGAGATGCAAACTTATTATTTCCTGAATTAAAGATGCGATATGGAACTCCAGGGGTTTATAAAAGGATTAAAGATATAATTAAGTAAGTAAACTCCAGGAAATGCTTCTTTGCACAGAGTAGAGTCCTCCACAGATGTAGGCTGTGACCGCGAAGGAGAAGTCACGGGTCTTTCCACATTTCAGTGTGCCATTTTCATTGTAGACTATTATTATTGATAGCTATTTTCTAATTATTTTCATTAGCAATATTTGATAGCAATATTATCTATAAAAGAAGGGTATGACGTGGAAGATTGGTTCTACAGGTAAAGAAACCATCGTAGATGAGATGCTGGCTGTGAGACTCTGAGGTGCACTTGCTGCCTGATGCAGACTCAGCACCAGCAAGAGCAGGAACCAAGGATCTCGAAGCTCATATTTATGACTCACCTGTTCCAATGACACCCGGATCCACGCTCTGCCATTCTCGGGCCTGAGAGATGAATTTCTCAACCGATTTTAAACTGCTGGGTCTGCTCTTTATGAAACTTTTCTTTGTTCCTCTCTACACTGTTGGCCTTTGTCTGCAAACGGTCATAAAAGTTTCATAAAATGACAGGTAAGGGACCTGGAAAAGATGCAGGCACATGGTATTTGACACTCAAAAGATGTATGTGTCCTTCAGTGAACTCTGAACAAAGCAGTTCTCTGGGCATTAAAGTAATAACAAAGGACCCCCGTCCTTTCAAATAGTAAATTATATTGTCGTGGGAGTTATTTTGTCCAATAAATAGCTAGTTTTACACACACACACACACACACACACCACATACACAAACTAGATACCTTTTACTTTAGATGCACATTTGAGTCTTTGTAATGTCTGAATAGTTGGACAATAAAAAATGTGCAAAATTGCAAGTGTGGGGAGTTGGAAAGCTGGTTCAGTAGGTAGGAATGTCGCTTGTGCCAGCATGAGGATCTGAGTTAGGATCCCAAGTACCCAAGAAGCCTGGCATAGGTTAGGGTGATGGCACACTTTTTTAATCTCAATATGTAGAAGGTAGAAGCAAACAGGTCTCTGTGAGTTCAAGGGCAGCCTAGTTTAAAAAATAAATTCCAAGCTGGCCAGGGCTACACAATGAGATCCTGGAAAACAAAAACCAAACAAAGATGAGGTATGACTACCCATCTGTGCCTGTAATCACATTATTGGCAGGGCAGAGACAGACAGGTTCCAGGACATTGCTGACAGGCTAGCCTGGCCTAAACTGTGAGTTTCTTGTTCGGTGAGAAACACTGCTTCGATGTAGTAAGGTGAAGAGTGATAAGGGATCCTTCTAACCTCTACACGTATACATATACCTATATACACTCGCATGCACCACACCCACACAACACGCATACAATGTAACTAGAATAAAATGTTTGAGCAGAGGATTCCTCCTTTCCTACCCACTTTTCTGTTTCCATCTTTCATGTCGTTACTTAGAGAGAATGTTAAGACCTACACAATGTGGGTCTTAGTTCCACTTAATTCCCACTTAGCGGCTACATCAAATCTCTGGAAATGGACTCTGTGTAGAAGACTGAACCACGTGAGGAATCCTTGGCTTTGGATATTTCCGTGGGATGTTTATCAGATAGCCATGACATTAAGACATTATTATAGAATATTAGGCCTGAACTAAATTATCTTCCTTTCTTCTAAGTGGCACTATGTCTATCCTCACCCCAAGTGTTCTGTTTACTAGTGCAAGCAAAAATCACCCCATCCGGCAGTCGGTACGGATGATATCCAATGGGTGAAAACCTGTGCTTGTCATGGAAAGGTCTGGAACTGACCAGATGCTGTCCCTGCATTCGCTGTGTGGTATGCATCCGATCTTGCGGGGCTTTTTGTAGGCTGTAATTTACTATATGACATTGTATTAGTCAGGGCTCCCTAGAGAAACAGAACCGGTGGGATGAAGCTATGCATCCACAGATTAATATTAAGTAAGTTTTAAAATAGTAGCAATATCAGAGTCACCCCTGAGAGCTGAGAACCTAGTAGTTACTTTTTCCTTGAGGCTGGGCGCTTCAGCATTTGGTGAAATCCATGATGGCTTTCTCTTACTGGAGAGAACCCAACAACTGGTAATAGCTTAGTCCACTAGGTGGGGTGCACTAGCAGTTCCAATCTGACACCAGAAGCCCAGATGATTCCTCTGAATCTGTAAGCAAATCCCTGACGAAATGCCTTCTTTCGGTGAAGAGCTTTGGTCGTAGTGAACACTTAATCCCACCATAACACTACTGTGAAATAAGCTGTGAGTGGTGCCACTTCAGCATAGTCTCAATGATAAGTCTTCAAATAGCGCCTGACCTAAGAGAAGACCTCCTCCTTTGCTGGCTCCTGCAGACCCCTTACATTGTGTGTCAAGTCCCAAGTCTCAGAACCATGGACAGCACCCGTCCCACCATTCTCATTTGATGAAAAGCAAATATTGCAAAATGACATTAAATTCTTTCTGAAGGCAACCTAATTATTCAATACAGCAGCATGGGTGAGGAACACAATCTCATTTTCCTTCTTTCATAGTTGAAAAAATGAAAGCTCCCCAATATTACTTAGGGTCTTAGCTGGGAACATCCTTATGGATTTCTGGGAATTTTTCTAGTGCCAGGTTTCTTACTAGCCCCTCAATCAAAATATCTCTGTCCTTGCTCTCCGTCTCTGTCCTTCCCCCATCTCTACCATCCTGTTCCCTCAAGTTCTCCTCCCCACCTCATCCCCTTCTGCCCCCACCCTCATGTTCTCATGAGATCTTGTCTACTTTCCCTTTCCAGTTGGATCTATATATGTTTCTCTTAGGATTCTCCTTGTTACTTAGCTTCTCTGGGGTCATGGACTATAGGCTTGTTATCCTTTGTTAATATCCACTTAGGAGTGAGTACACACCATGCTCATGTTTCTGGGCCTGGGTTACCTCGCTTGGGATAGTTTTTTGTAGTAACAGGCATTTGCATGCAAATTTCAAGATGTCATTGTTTTTTATTACCTATAGTAGTACTCCATTGTGTAGATGTACCACATTTTCTTTATCAATTCTTTGATTGAAGGGCCATCTAGGTTGTTTCCAAGTTCTGGCTATTACAAATGATGCTGCAATGAACATAGTTGAATAAAAGTCCTTGTAGTATGATTGAGCATCCTTTGGGTATATGCCCAAGAGCGGTGTTGCTGGATCTTGAGGTAGCCCTGTAGTCAGTTTGATGACAATCTTAAATATCATCATAGAAACTTCATCCAGCAACTTATCGAAGCAAATGCAGAGATCTGCAGTGGAAAACTGGGCAAAGTCCAGTTGAAGAGTGGGAGAAGTAAGAATATGAGCAAAGAAGCCAAGACCATGATGGAGACACCCACTGAAACAGTCTACCTGAGCTAATGGGAGCTCACTAACTCCAGCCTGACTGTGAGAGAACCAGCAAAGGACCAAATTAGTTTCTCTGTATGTGGATGCAGTTGTATGGCTAGGGAGGACTATGGGACCACTGGTGGTGAGACCAGGATTTATCCCGACTGCTTGTACTGTTTTTTTTGGAACCCATTCTTTTTAAAGGGATATCATGCTCAGCTTAGATATAGTGGGGAGGGACTTGGTCCTGCCTCAGAGTGAGGCACCAGACTTTGTTGACTTCCCAAGTCTCTGAGGAGTGGATGGGGTGTAGGATAGGGGAAGTGAGGTGTGGAGGGAAGAGGAAGAAGGGAGGGAGAGGCATGTATAATGAGAAAATATAGCTTTTTAAAAAAATACATAAATAAACAAATTTTTTAAAAAATGAAAGCTCGGAAACAGAGCCTCACATGCAGGGAGGAGGGTGAAGCGAACTTTTGAAAGTTCTTTAAAATGCAGATGATCTATAGAAACTTAGTGGTATTCTAAATCCTTCAGCTGGCAACACAAAACTGCTGTCTTTTCTTTGTTAAAATTAATTTTAAAATTGGGCCTGGGGAGATTGTTCAATGGATAAAGAACTTGCTGTGCACGCAAGCATGAGGAACTGAGTTAAATCCCAGAACCCACAAGAATGCCTGGCAGGTGTGTTTGCCCACCTTAAACCCCAGTGCTTAGGAGACAGAGAGAGGAGATGCCCCCTAAACTGGCTAGCTAGACCAGCTGAGCTGGCATGCCTTTGTTTTACTAGGAGACCTGCCTCAGTAAATATGTGCAGAGCAGTTGAGGAAGACATCTGATGGCTGTGCTTGGTTTACACACACACACACACACACACACACACACACACACACACACACACACAGGCGTACACATGCATGCATACATGTGCCCATTGCGCCCATACATACACAGACACACACTCATACCTGCAAACATATACATCCATACATATGCAAGTATGCATAAACACTCTTAAGAACATCACATACATATATACACACAAAACATAATGATTTAAAATTCTTCAGTTATATATAATGTGTAAAGCTGAGTAAAAGCTGGACTAGTTACACATTTACATAAATGGAACCATGTGCACACACACGCATGTGCACACGCTCCTGTGCACTAAGTGGTCTTGGCGCCATTGACTTTCCTGAAAACGAATGTGAAAGCGGTAACACTATTCCTAAAACAGCGGTCTACGCGTGTTGCTGTTTTGGGGAAGTGATGGGGGAGTGTCATATATCAATCTGTTGATTTCATTGGTTAAGCAATAAAGAAACTGCTAGCCCCCCCCCCCCAAAAAAAAAACCAAATTCTTTAATGGTAGCATGGAGGCGAGTCTTTTCTGGAAAGGAAATGCAACCTAACAAGATGAGTCCATCTTCAGGTGTTCTGGGTAGAGCAATGGTAACCTCGAGCACAAAATTTGAGCGCTAACAAACTTCTTGGCAGTCTTGTTCTGGGAACCCCACTTCTGTTTCAAAGGACAATGAGGAGTGTGCACTGTGATTCCATCGCTCATCAAATACAGAGTTCTCACCACAGGGTAACTTGCTTCTCTGGCTACTTCACGGCACATCTGGTGGGCTTGGGAAGGTTTGCCCAGGCTTCATCAATGTCCGGGGATTTGTGATTCATGGAGGAGATCAACAAACTGGTGCGGGCTGGTTGTGCTGTTGCTGAACGGCACCATCTGCCTCAACTTGGAGATCGTCAAAGATTTCTTAAACAGTGGTGTGGAATGATCTCATAAGAGGTGTTATCAGTGGTTTTCCAATGCCTGTTGATAGAAGTGGAATCCAAACCATAACCCTAGGTGGTGAGTTTCTGAAATGAAATGACTTATTGTGCCTAAGTCTCCTATATTCAAAATGAGCTTTCCCTAACAGCTTTAGCAAAGAGGAGAAAAAGTGCTCCAGAATCTCTGAATATTAGTTTAGACCCAGTGGTTGTCTCCTTGGCTTATAGATAATAAGAGTTTAAAGGGCAGAATCTGGATGCAATAGGACTGTGTTGCTAAAATGAAGTGTTAATCATTTGGAGCATGGCCTAAGATTCATCCTTAGGTGCGGTGACAGCAGCATACAAAATACTCACATGATCTCTCCACGGTGGCCCCTTTAACAATGACAATGAAAGCTGTGCTTATTTGGGTATTTCCCTTCCCCCCCTAAAATGATCTTATATCTTCATTGTCCACTTCCCGTTTACTCTCTCGGTTAGGTTAGGGCCAGATTGCTAAGTTTACCTAAGGTCTTTGTCTCTCTTCCAGGCTGAGGCAAGTCGGAGCTGGTAGGCTCTTTCTTTCATTCTGAAACCCCCCAGTAGAGACAACCTTGGAGAGTGTGTGTTCCAGATGTCACAGCAGATAGAGTTCTGCCTGGCCAATATTGGGCTGTGATGAGAATGAGAAATAAACTCTTATTGTGTTAAACCCCAGAGATTTAGGGGTTGTCTATCACAATTAATTACTTCAAACAATGCAGACCACAATTATCAGATGGCATTGAGATTTCTCACCACTAAAGACAAATCTCATTTTCACTACTAACTAGGGTATGCCAGGAAAGTTTTTTGTCTTATTAAAGGGGGGAGGCGGAGAGATCTGTATTAACTCTATAGCATTGCTCTTAAGAATGATGCTCTTCGGTGCTTTGTGTAGAGAGGAGCCTATACTCCGATTAGGTGGAATTGCAGTATGATTAAAAAAAAAACCCAGAGACAGAAATTGGGGTTCAACCTCAAGGTCAGAAAAGCAAAATAGCCAGCCCTACCTCTTACCTTTACCTCAGCCTGAAATGGTGATCCTGCTTCCTGATATCTCAGAATGAGACTGAGTGAGAGCTGTCACCTCCTGTCTTTTATTTTTCTCTAGTGCTGGGGTTAAAGGCGTGCACCACCACCGCCTGGTTTCTATGGATAACTAGTAGCATGGTTAATGGGATTAAAGGTGTATGTCACCACTGCCTGGTCTGTAAGGCTGATCGACGGCTGTTTTAGTCTCTGATCTTCAGGCAAGCTTTACTTATTAAAATACAAATGAAATACAAATGAAATATTACTACATGGAATGATCTGCAAAATAAACATTTATGTCATATTATCACTATCTTGGTCTTATAACTAGGCTGGAAGAACAATGTCTAATTCTAGTATGTAATTCTCTCTCTCTCTCTCTCTCTCTATATATATATATATATATATATATCATTATAGTATCTCTTATGTGTCTCTCAATAGCCCCTAGTCTGGCAAAGCCACCTCTCCTGTAGAAGCTTCAATGTCAAAAGCAGTAATGTTTTCACAAACAACGGGAATACATTCCAAAAAAATATATTCCATCATTGCACAAGCACCATGGATTACTTCTACACAAATAAAGACCAGTGTTACGTCACTAGACACCACAGCCTTATGAGACCACATCTTATGTTTTTGTCCATTGTTGACTGCACTATCCTTGTATGGTATGTGGTTCATGTTGTTTGAGCCATCTCCTGTTAGGGGGAGTGTATCACCCTAACCTCCTGGATTGAATCGCAGTGTGTGCTGACTGCCAGAAGAGGACAGAGGAACTCAGGCTTTAACAAGCTTCCATCATGAGCTCTCTGCTCATGACTTCTAGAGGAAACTCATTGTTACTATAGAAGGCATCTGTCGCATTATCTTAGCCACAACAGGCGAAACCCAAGGAAGCCTTCCTTTGCCAAAAGTTCCTAGCCAAGAACTGCATTCAGTGACCTGGAACTGAGTGTATGATTGTCCAGGCTGTAAAGCCCATGGTGGAGATAAGATTACTGCCTGTAACTCACAAAAGAGACGCAAAGAAGGTTTGCCCAAAAATATGTGTCGACTTCCTAGACCCACTCTAGACGGAAAGCTCTCTATTTTAAATGAGGTTCCTGATATTTTTTCCACAGCGGCAGACTTAATGTTGCATTAAAGTTCTTGAAAAAGAAAACACTAGTAGCAAGTCCACCTGGCTTTAAAGTCCCGACAGTAACATTCCCCCCACACCGGTCTTAGTACTCGCAGAGGGCTATCTGTCTCCACAGCACCCTTGCAATCCCTGCATCCCCTTCTCATCCATAACAAAAGAAGGGCTATTACCTAAGGAGCAATTTTAAGGACAGGCTTGGTGACTCTGTACCTTATCTTCTTCTTTTCCACGCTGGGATTTGTTTGACTGCAGACGACATGCCGTTGGTTTCCTTTCTATCAAGGGTAAGCTTAGGCACAGCTCTGCCTTTTCAGGTGGAGGCCCCAACGTACCTGTGATGAGATGGTAAAATTCTGGGATTCAGACTAGAAACCTTATTAGACACCTAAACCACGCCCCGCGATTCACCATCAACGGGAAAGAAAACTGATTCTTTGTTTACCTGGCTTCCTTGTCTCTCAGTTTAGAACCTGACTTGAGAACATGTGTAAAAGGATAGAAAATGGCGAAGCAGATACCTTGGGCAGACCCTGCCAAGGTAAGCACCTAAGAGAACAGGACTCTGCAACAGAGTTAGTGCAATGGTCTTATTGGGGGAGGGGGAGAGGATAATGGGGGAAAGGCTATCTGGGTGGGGAGAGGAGAGAGGCAGGGAGGCAGTCAGACAGGAAAGCAAGAAGAGCCAGAGGAGGGACCAACTGAGAGGCACTTTGAAGAGGTGCACATCACCTGGCAACCGGTGATGTCAGTGCCTAGGCAGGCTGGTCACCGCGCAGGAGCTAGCAGCGTGTGAGCCAGCCCAGTCCAGAAGTCCATCATCCCAACTATGGAAATCTGTCCGACGGTTCAGGCTGTGAAGTTTTCTTCTCTGCGATAGCTTACTGTAAGCAGATGGAGGAAGAATGAGGAGTAGAGGAAGGGGGAAGAGAATGAGGAGAGGAAGAAGGCAGAAGTATAAGAGGAGGAGAAAGAAAGAAAGTGCAGGGGAGATTGGTTTGTAAGAGGACAATGGTTCACAGGATCAAGGCAAAGACAAAAATTGCTGTAGCCCTCAGGAGGGAGAAGGATTCAGGGAGCATGAAGCAGCAGGGCTCCCTCCAGGCTGCCTTTTTCCTGCCCTCTTCACTGCTGTCCTTGTAGGCAAGTTTCCTGCACGCCTCCAGACCGTACCGTATTTCATGCTTCCTGCATGCCCCCAGTAAACACGGTATTTCGTATTTCCTTACATACTTCCTGCATCCCTCCAGTACACATGGTATTTCATATTTTCTTACATATCTAAAGGCATTTTTTTTGTTTTTGTTGCCAATCTAAGTCTCATTTTTTCAAAAGTTGTTAGTGTCTTTTTCTTAAGTGAAAGTATTTGTGATCTTTTCTCCACCTATGGAGTTTGAAAGTTTCTGATTTTTATCTATTTATCGGCCTTTTCTCCATTCAAATTAGAATTTCTTAAGAGCAACCTTCACTGAAGACATTCTAATTCGTGTTTTTATTGGTTCAGCGTCTCCCTTTCTACTCTTTCTCTCTGTACTTTTAGTGCCATAAAATTTACACCCTTACATAACATGTAAGGATATAATATGTAGTAATAGCTTTATAATTATAGTCACATGACTCCATAATTTAGAACAGCAGAAAAGGGGGATTTTTAAAAATTTAGTTTTCTTTTCGGTGGTGCTGACATAAATCCCAGGGCCTCACAAATCTACGCAAGATCTCTACCTTGGGCTATATTTCCATCCCCAAAGGCAATTTCCGTGTAAAGATCTGTCTCTCTTTAGCTCTGGAAAATTTCCTTCTATTATCTTTAGTGATGTCCCTTGTTTTTCTCTGCTTTCTCAATTTATTAGTCAATCCATAAAACACTAATTTCTTCATGTTTCTAAGACATTTTGTTACATTTCAACCCATGCATGTGCTGCATAATGTTTAAGTCAGGTTAAACATATTTACTCCTCGAAGATAAATAATTCATATTATTATATTATAGTGGAAACTTTCAAAATTCCTTCTTCACATTTTTTAATACCATATATTATTATCTGCATTATCTGTTTATTATTGCAGCTGCTTTGCAGGGCAATAGCGCATCAGAATTTTCTGCTCCATCTAAGTGTTACTTAGTACCCGTTGGCCTTCCTGTCCCATGCATCCCCACCACCCTCCCCAGCCTCTGGCTATCACCACACTATCTTCAACTTCTATGGTAGAAGCTGCCTAAAATTTTACAGAAGGTCGGGCATGTAGCTTTAATCCCAGTAAACGGGAGGCAGAGTTAGATTGTGTGTGTGAGGTCAATCTAGTCTACACGCTGGCAGAGGAAGTGCATGATAAATCTTGCTTAAAAAAGAGTAAATCCCACATAGGAATAAGATCATGTAGCATTTGTCTGTGTCGGGACTTTGTTTAACATCATGGTTCTCTGGTGAAGGCATAAGTCACAAACAATCCCACACCAGTTTGGAATTATGATTAATAGGGTGGTATTTATTTAAAGGGGAAAAAACTTACAGATCACCGTCCCAGACAACAACAGCCCTCTGCGCAATTAGGAAGGAGTCTAGTCGCCTGAAACGGAGCAGGAAGGAAAGAGAGAGCGAGGAGGGAAGTGGCCACTTTTTTAAAGAGAGAGACCATGCCCCAGTGGGCTGGTATCTCAGCGGCTATTGGCTGGAGGAGCGGAAGGACCTCCCGCAACACTCTGGTTTAGATCTTGTTACAAATAGGATTTCATTGGCTTTATGAATAAATAATCTCCCATCATCTCTATGTGCTACATTTTCTTTATCTGTTCATCAGTTGATGGTGGGTGGATTAGATTTCCTAGCCATTTCTCTATCATTTTCAATGTTCACAGGAGGAGAAATGTCCCTTGGATATAACTGATCTTGTTTCTTTGTGAAATGTTAGTCAGTAGCATTCCTTGGTCATACGGCAGCTCTAAATTTAATCTTTTGAGGAACTTAAGTAGATTTTTAACCACTAAGTAAATATTAATTAACTTATATTGCAATCATTAATATACAAAGGCTCCATTTTCTCTTCATCTTCAATGACCATTTGTTAACTTGTTTGCTTGTTTATGGGCTTTGTTTCTTTTTAATTTCTTCCTTCTCCCTCCCTTCTCCTCCCCTTCCCTCCCCTCCTCCCCCCACTTCTTTATTTTTAGAGGCAGGGTCTTTACTCTTCAGCCTGGACTAACCTAAAACTTGTAGAAATCCTCCTTCCTCTGCCTCCCAAGTGTACCGTGCCTGGCTTGATCGCCTTGACAGTAGCCATTTCACTGGGGTAAGGTGACATCTTCTTATGGCTTTGATTCGCAGTTCCCTGGTGATAAAAGATTCTGAGAATTTTCCCCATGTACCTGCTGTCAATTTGCAGATCATCTTTTGAAAAATTCCTACTTACAGATATTGCCATCAGTTAATCTTTTTCGTTTTGCTTCTTGTGTGCTTGAGGTATTTCTCACATATTCTGGATTCTAACTCTTGCTCAAATATGACGGAGTGTGTTTTCCTCCAGTAGATTGTGCTTTTCTCTCTATTGTCTGTTTCCTTTTCTGTGTAATTTTTTTCTTTACTTTAGAGTATAATCTCATTTGTCAGTGTAATTGTATCCATTTTAAAACTTCCTTGATATTTGATATGTTTTTGAATTTTGTAGAAGAAACAGATCTGGTGGAGATACGCTCTTGTCTTTTGTTTGGGAATGTCTTCATTTCTAAAATTATAACCTTGTTGGCTAAGATATTCTCAGATGTCAGATTTTTTTTTCTTCCTAGCTGTGAAAAATCTCACTCCCTTTCTCCTGGCTTGCAAAGTTTCTGCTAACAGACGTACTTTCAGGTTAATGGAACATCCTTGTATTATTGTTTTGTGGAAGCCCTACAGATCCTTTATCTTTGCCTTAAAAGTTTGATTATAAACTGTCTTAGGATAGACGACCTTGAATTAAGTGTGACTACTGTCTTCGATTTTCCTGTACCCGGATATCTGTAACCTTTCTAGGAAGGGGAGAGATTTTTTTGTTTTTTTGTTTTGGTTTATCTTGCATCTTTCTTTCTTTCTTTCTTTCTTTCTTTTCTCTTTAATTCTTTTCTCACACATCACATTCTGACCATAGTTTCCTCTCCCTCTACCACTCCGATGCCTCCTTTTACCATTCTTCTCCCCAGATCCATTCTTCCTCCATTTCTCATCAGAAATAAAAAGAAAAAAAGAAAGAAAAAGTAGTGGGCTTCTCAGGGATATTAACTGAACATGGCCCAACAAGTAACAATAAGAATAGGCACAAACCCTGTTATCAAGACCGGACGAGGCAACTCAATAGGAGGAAGAGGGTCCCAAGCACAGGCAAAAGAGCGAGAGACACAGAGGAATGAGAAAGCAGTCAGTCAGTGGGTAGATGAAATCAGTAGCTCAGTCTTCGGGTATCCGCTAGCATGGGGCACACTGGCGTTCACTGTAGTAAGCACAGTGCTGAGGCTCAGGTTCAAAGCCTAGACTTCCTATTTCTGCCTGTCTGAAGCAGGAGGCTGCTGCTTGAGATTAGAGGAGGATTGGCACAGGCAACTTCTTTTTTCCCATCTTCTACAGCATGAGTTTCTATTTGGCTTCATTTGAAGCAGGCACTGTGGTCTCTTGTTAATTTCTTTAGCAGGTTTTTGGTGCATGAATAGTTGTTCTACTTGGATCGGATCTTACCCAGCTGCCGTCTGGTTCCACTTCCTTTCCTGCTTTGTAAAAAGTTTGTTTATTTTTATTTTATGTGTATTATTATTTGCCTGCATGTATTTATGTGCAGAGAGAGAGAGAGAGAGAGAGAGAGAGAGAGAGAGAGAGAGAGAATGTTTGGTGACTACTGTAGGCTAGAAGGCATTAGATCCCCTGGAACTGGAGTTTTAGGCAGGTGTGAGCCAACATTTGGATGCTGGGAAACAAATTCCAGTCCTTTGCAAGAACAGCAAGTGCTCTTAAACACTGAGCCATCTCTCCAGGCCCATAGGTCTTTAAAAAAAATCAATTTCAAACTCCTAGTAATTGAATAACATTTTTACTTCATAATATCTCTCTGTTCTCTTATTGTTCCTTATTGAACACAAGAGTAGTTCTTAATTTACAGGCAGCTCAATACTAACCTAGGTGTGGTGCATACTCCAGAACAAATATGGTATACAGAATGTGGAGTAGAAACCAAGTTCTCGCTGATCCACTTCCCAGAGACCCAGCCGTTGTGAAAGCTCTAATGCAGTCTCCCAGAGACAAATCATGACTTTAAAGACAGGCATAGCCTTTAAATAATTCCTGATTACATTGAAAATGTAATCTGAGTTTGGCTTTTATTATTTTTGACATTTTCATATGCTTGTATAATCTATTTTGGTATTCATGTTTTCTTTTTATGCCCTTGTCTTTTCTAGATCAATTCATTTTTATTTAGGATCACATATTCTCCTCCTTTTGGACTTCCTACTTCAAGTCTCTGGTTTTCTTTATATACTGCATTATTTATTCTTTTGTAAAAATGGACTGTGCTATTTTTTCCTAGTTTTATGATACAAATTTCCTTGTGTGATTTGTGTATGTTCTTGCCTATTCTCACCCCATGTGGAAAAGCAGTATCTCCACACAGAGTAACGGTGGTAGAAAGACAGAGTGGTGTGTACTTCAGAAAAGGGGTAGAGAGTTGGTCAGTATGTGGGGAAATGAACCAGTCCCGTCCAGGTCCTCACTCCTCTTCAGGCCGTTTGCTCTATCTCCCCGTTAATGTCATGGCTCATTTCTCCCCTCTCACTGCCACATTCTACCCAAGCCAGTGCCATTTACAGAGACCTCGCTAGTGTTTCCCAGCTGCTTGGATTCCTTCATGCGTGGCCTTGTTTGCATTTGCACAGGAACATCCAGGACACAGCCTCGACAAGGTCACTGTAATCATCTCTCATCTGCTAGCGGTTCACACAATACACAGTCCTTAGGAAAAGTTCTGGCCATTGATAGCTCAACTGAGGCTATCAGTCTATCTGCCATGATACTTGCTTTTAGTTAAAGTAAAATGATTTCTCATGGTATGTTGAACAGAGGTTTCTGTACCACCCAGTCCTGCACCCGTTCAGTCCCAAAGAAACACACAGAGGTCTACATTAATTAGAAATTGGTTGGCCTGTTAGCTCAGGCTTCTTATTAATAACTCTTACATCCTACATTAACCCATAATTCTTGTCTGTGTTAGCCATGTGTCTTGGTACCTTTTATCAGTGAGGCTTTCTCATCTTTCTTCCTCTGTATCTGGGTCACAACTGCAGACTGAGTCTTTCCTCTTCCCAGAATTCTCCTGTTCTCATTGCCCCGCCCATGCTTCCTGCCTGGTTAATGCTAGGGGTAAGTGTCTGCAGGAAGATACTTCCTAATGAAAGGGGATTATCAATCTCCTCAGTGCTTAGTCCTGAGATGCCTGTTTTAGGGGAGCCCTGGGAGAGGAAGTAGAGAATAAATGTATTTTTATCTGTTTGTTTCTGTGTATTTCCCCTCTCTCCATCTGCAGAACTGATATTTTCACACAAGACACCTGCCAGCCCTGTCTGTTCCAGGACTTCTCACTAATAACAACAAGTTAAATGAACCGCAAGTATCATTTCCTCTTTACAAACCTGATATCTTCCAACGGTTGTGGCACTCAGAATTATGGTAGCTTTATCTCTTGGGATAGTGTCTCATTTCCTGTTTTGAGGTAGTTGTTCCCTTCTTCTGATAGAAGGAAGTTATTCATCTGGCTTCTAGCAACACTATAAAACTAGAAGAAAAAAAAAACTTTGGAAGTTGCAAAACTGATGATTAGCAGGAATGCTGTGGCCTTGTTCAGTTACGGGGTGCCACGCTGTTCACCCATTCACACTTGCTGATTGATTTAATGTTTGTAAATTTAGCTCTCCTCAGTCTCAGCTGATGTGTGGGTACATACACCAAGCAGACTGATATTTATGCCATAAGTGAGAAATAACTCGATAATTTATGAGTGGTGAAAACCCAAAGATGAGAAGGCTTTCCCCCAGAGAAAGAAGACACACACACACACACACACACACACACACACACACACACTTTAGACAACTCTCCTTGGCACTTTCATTTTAAGAACGTGCGTATTTTATGGTGGAGTGGGAGAGAGAAATTGTGCAGCCCCCATGAACTTTTCCTTTTATGAGCTGTCTCTGAGAGAAATGCTTCTGTATAATGGAATACTTTTCTTTCCTTTCTGTCTCCATCGGCACAGAGGCTGAGCCCATGCTGGTAAGAACGTGCAAAAGTCTATTGCCTGTGCACTGGCTATCTGGGGGCTGCTAAGTGGCTGAAGCGCTGAAGAGATGCCACGCTGAGGGCACAGCTTGTGAGCGGTTTATGTGCTATGTCCGGAGTGTACTTCCCTTTCTTCATAACTCTGTACTTGCTAACAGAGTTCTCTATATGTTTCTTTCAAACCAGGAAGTGGTCTGCTTACAAAAGAACAATGTTCTTCCAAGGAAAAGAATTCTGTACAAGCTCAGAGAAGAACAGCTAAGGAAGAAAATTACTTGAATGTCTGCTTGAAATAGCGTTTTAAAAAAGACATTGAGGCAGATGATTGCTTAAGTGGTTAAAGGTTTGGGTGACATCTAATTCCACCATAAAATGTGTGTGAGGCATATGCCGGTGCTCAAACGAGTCAAAATGACAGCCACACGTACAGGCTCACACGCTGCTCATCTTACATATATGTACTTCAGCCTGAGGATGGAGGCAAGTGTATAACGAGGAGGCGATTGGTCAGCTCCCCTCCCCCAACCTTGCCTTTCCCTCCTTATTCCCTCATGTTTGGAGAACTCTGTAAAGATGTCGGGAGGAACTAAGTCAGAAAATTGATCAGGACTGCAAATGTTTACCCTGCACAGCGGCGTGGACTCACCAGAGCTTTGAAGCAGGACACAAACTATTTGACTTTTTTTTTTCTTTTTCTTTTTTCTTTTTGGCACCAGGCCTGAGAGAGGAGAGGAAGAATTAGATGTCAGGAAGATATCAGAAAGGTTGAAAATGGACAACATCCACTGGTCCAGAGCAGTTTTGGGGAAAAATCTGGTACATGTCACCAAATGGCTCAACAGAAATCCAATACTACCTCCTTGAGAACCATCAATTGTTCTTGGTTGTTCTTAAAGTTTTTGTAAGTTTTAAATGAGTTGTATTAAAGTTTAGTCCTTTGACAAGAGATTTTTAATACCCTCATGTTATAAGGATAGATTCCTTACCAGCTTCGAGTCCTTATGTAGATGTGCGTGACAGCATCCTAATGCCAAGAGGCCGCAGTGCCTACAGGGCACCTGGGAGGATTCACAGGACCTGCAGCTGTTTGAGAAGGTTGGTGAGCGCCCACATTAAATCACCCTGCATCCTGGGTTAAATACTTGCTGAGCAGCTTTTTCTTTTCTTTAGAAACAAATGTTTTTCATTTTCAAAATGATTCATTTATTTTATGCGTATGTGTGCGTGTTTCATGAATGTGTGTACATCCTGTGTGTGGCTGGTGCCCATGGACAGCAGAAGAGGGCATCAGGCTCCTTGGAGATGGAGTTACGGGGGCTTGTGAGATGCCACATGGGTGCTGGGGCTCTGAAGACAGACCCTCTGCAGGAGCAGCAAGTGCTCCTAAGTGTTTGGCTATTCCTCTAAGCCTTCTTTTTTCTTTAAGTTTTCTTTACTCTTGAGAGATTCATATCTGTATCAATGAAATATAATCATGTGAAACCCATTTACATTTTATTTATTTATTTTGTGTACATGTGTACACACAGGCCACAGTGTGCACATAGAGATCGGAGGATAGCTACCGAGTTCTCCCGTTCCACCAGAGGCCTCAAGCAGAGATCAGGCCTGGTAGTAGATACCGTGACTATTGAGAATCTCACTATCCCCAGATACTGTATCTCTTCTAGAGAATATTTAACTAAGCTTAAGAGGTAGAAAATAGATATGCTTTCAAGATGTCATTATTTGTCTTCTTTCTTTTCTTTTCTTTTTTTGAAATTTGCAGGCAAATGGATGTATCTAGAAAACATTATATTGAGTGAGGTAACCCAGACCCATTAAGACAAATATCACATGTACTCACTCATAAGTGGCTTTTAGATATAAACCAAAGAAAACCAGTCTACAATTCACAATCCCAGAGAACCTAGACAACAATGAGGACTCCAAGAGAGACATACATGAATCTAATCTACATGGGAAGTAGAAAAGACAAGATTTCCTGGGTAAATTGTGAGCAAAGGGACCATGGGAGTGGGTAGAAGGGGAGGGAAGAGGAAGGGAGGAGAGCAGAGAAAAATGTAGAACTCAACAAAAATCAATACACACACACACACACACACACAAACAATTTAAAAAGCATACATTTATTTTCTGACAGTTTCTGTAAATAAGGAATCAGCTGTGGCTTGAGTGGTTTTCCCAGAAGCACGTTAGCAAGTTGCCGCCCCATCTGCAGCCTCAGCTGAAGAAAGATTTGCTCCCCAGTCCTGTATGTTGATTGCGGAAAGTATGTATTACTTTCACATTCTTGCTATGCAGCGACTTTCTGCCTCTTCATAAAATGGGACTACTCCCTCCTCCCACCCCAGGTGTGTGCCTGTGTGCAGGAATGTGTGTCTCTGTGTGTGTTGTGTGTGTGTGCGTGTGTGCATAGAAGTCAGAGGTCAATGTGGGGTGTAACATCTCTTTTTAGAGGCAGGGTCTCTCACTAGGACTGGAGTTAGCTGACCCACTAGGCTGACTGGCAGAGAGCCACAGATTTGTCTGACGCCGCCTCCCCACTACCCCAGTACTGGAATACAACATATACTATACTGTCTGGACTTTTACTTGTGTGTTGTGTCCTCAAGCTTGTAAAACAAGCTCTTTCTCAGTTAAGCTGTCTTTCCTGTTCACTTCCCCATAAAATGTAAAAGGACTCACCTGTGAAGGCCATGCCCATCTAGGATAATCTTTGAGGATTTTTTTTTGTTTGTTTGTTTTTGTTTTTGATTAATTCAAAGTTACCAATTAGGGGCTTTAGTTACACCTGTAAAATTCCTTCTTCGCTGTCGTGCATTATTCTGCTGTTTGGTGCAGTGCTGGGGTTGGTTGAGATCATGGCATCTGCTCAGAATTCTACCTGCCTTGTTTTCTGCCCACCACATTACACTCGGTTCATCTCATCTCCATTTTTACTCTTGGCAACTAAAATATCCTATGTAGCAACATCAGCCCCTTACACAGACACTTCCCTAACCAAATCATCCCTTTGTTACATTTCCTATTCTGCTGTCATATAAGAAGCACGCCCATTTCCTCAACTTTCTAACAATGCCTTTTAGGGCCCTCTGTGACAACTTCAGTGGGACATTTTAGACACTATTCCCAAAGCCCTGCAGGTTTTCACAAGCATTCCCTGTGTGTCTCCTCCCCAGCTTCTACCAACCATAGGTCCGAACGCTGAGGACATAACCTAGACATTGATGGCAGCAATATCAACTGAAGACTAAGTGCTGCAATTCACAGCGGTCTGGCAAGCACTCTGCAAGTTAGTGAATTGCAGCACCAGCCATATTGACTCATACATCTGTCACCATTCCATATATAGGTTTGTGTTTGCTGAACAGTTACTCTGATAAGCTGAGATAATCCTCTTAGCTTAAAATTCACCATCTAGAAGTTCTCTGAAAAAGCCACAGGAAATTGGATGTCTAATTGGACCAATTTACTTCTTGAGACCTAGAAAACCTGGAATACAAACTGACACATTAAGAGATAAAACCAGCCGGGCGGTGGTGGTGCACGCCTTTAATCCCAGCACTCGGGAGGCAGAGGCAGGCGGATCTCTGTGAGTTCGAGGCCAGCCTGGTCTACAAGAGCTAGTTCCAGGACAGGCTCCAAAACCACAGAGAAACCCTGTCTCGAAAAACCAAAAAAAAAAAAAAAAAAAAGAGATAAAACCACATTCAGCTTCTCTATCCAGTCAGCAGACAAGCTTCCTGCAGGTAGGCTGCTCCAACACCCCCATCCCATCAAACAGACCCTGGAAGCTACAACTCCTATCCCACCCCTAAACCCTCTTATCCCACATGACTTGAGAGGAACTCTGAAAGTTCACATGCAAATAAACAGAAACACAGACAACAGATAACCTCATACCAGCAAACCCAAAAGAAGGGAAACACACAAACACTATCACCAAAAAACAACAAGCATTAAAAATCACTGGTCATTAATATCTCTTAGTATCAATGAACTCAATTAACCTATAAAAAGATACAGGCTAAAAGAATGGATACAAAAGTAGGATCCAACCTTCTGCTGTATACCGGAAACACACCTCAGCCTCAAAGACGGACACTACCTCAGAGTTAAGGGTTGGGAAGAGATTTTCCAATCAAATAGACCTAAGAAACAAGTGAGTGCAGCTATCCTAATATCTAACAAAATTGATTTCAAACTAAAATCAATCAGAAGAGGTGGAGAAGGACACTTTATACTCATAACAGGAACAATTCATCGAGATGAAGTCTCAACCCTGAATATCTATGCTTCAAATACAAGATCACCCACATATGTAAAAGAAACATTACTGAAGTTTAAATCGCACATCAAACTCCACACACTATTAGTAGGAGACTTCAATACCCCTCTCTACTCAATGGACAGGTCAACCAGACAGAAGCCTAACAGAAAAATAAGGGAACTAACAGATCTCATGACTCAAATGAACTTAATGTTCATTTGTTCAAATAATAATGTTCAAATGTTCTCATCTAGAGAACATTTCACCCAAACACAAAAGAATATACCTTCTTCTCAGCACCTCATGGAGCCTTCTCTAAAACTGACCAAAACTTGTTAACAAAGCAATAAATTAAAAAAAAAAGTAGGAATAACCCCATGTATCTTATCGGATCAAAATAGTTTAAAGTTCAAATTTAACAACACTAATTGTAGAAAGCCTACAAACTCATGGAAATTGAACAGTGCTCACTTGACTCATGCCTGGGTCAAGGAAGAAATAAAGAAAGAAATGAAAGACTTCCTAGAATTCAAAGAAAATAAAGGCAAAATGTACCCAAATCTATGGGACACGATGAAAGCAGTGCTGAGAGGAAAGTTCATAGCACTAAGTGCCCACATAAAGAAAATAGAGAAATCTTACACTATTGATTTAACAGCACACCTGAAAGATCTAGAACAAAAAGAAGCAGATTCACCCAGAAGGAATAGATGACAAGAAATAATCAAATTGAGGGCTGGAATCAATAAAATAGAAACAAAGAAAACAATATATATTCTGTTAAGCCATTGGTCGAAAGCAGCTTCTTTATTAACCAATGGCAATAAAACATATTCACAGCACACACTAACTTCCACTTCAAAAGATAGTTTTTCTCTTTTTTTAAAAAAAAATAAATAATAATAAAGAGTTATATGGAACAAATACCTTAAAGAGAGGAACAAAACCTCGGAGTCAACTCTGGATTTGATTCTTTGAAGAGAAATATTGTTCTTCTAAACAGTCTTTTATTTACTGATTTATTTCTGTGTGTGTGGTATGTATAAGTATGTTGTTGGGTGTTACACATATGTGTGCAGATGCATACACACATGCCTCTCATGGTGATGTAGGAATACAAACTTCAGTGTTATTTCTTGAGTACCGTCTACATTTTGCTTGAGACCAGGTCTCTCATTGCCTTGGAACTTGGCTTCCAGGAATCTGTCCATCTCACCGTTACTGGGATTCCACACGTGACTGGGATTCCACATGTGCACCGCCACATCCTGCTTTTTGTGGTGGGTTCTGGGGACCCAAACTCAGGTCCTCACTTGAAAAGTGTCCTACTAACTGAATCATTTCTCCTGCCACTAAACATAACCTTTTGCCAACAAACATAGCATGAAAAAACTAAGTGTACAGATTGTCAAGGAGGAAGAATAAATCCTGGAAGGGAGCTGGGTTGGGGCTAGGGCTAGGGCTAGGGCTATGGTTAGTTCCATTCCATTCCATTCGGAACTAAACTTTTTATAATATATAGAACTTATTATCTTCTTTAATGGAGTTTCATAATTTACCCAGTATTAGGCAACCAGACAGTGTTGCAGCCACGAACCAGCTCAGAATTTTGATTTCAAACTCTATATTCACAACAATTGCACTGCAAAACCAAATTAGAAACAAGAAAATTATTTAAATATCGTTAAATAAGAAAATGAAAAAATCCAAATCTTTTTTTTCTTAGTAAGGTTTTAAAAACTCTCTCTCTCTCTCTCTCTCTCTCTCTCTCTCTCTCTCTTTCTCTCTCTCTCTCTCTCTCTCTCTCTCGAAGGAGTAAAAATTTTGCAAGTAGGATTTTTTTTTCTCATGGTAACTGTCTTCTGTCAGGAAAGCAATGACCTTACAAGTCAATATTTACTGTAATTGACTGAAATCTGGACACACAGCAAGTCCAACTGGGAAAGGAAGTTCTCCTATATCAAAGAACTGTGATGCAGATAAAGGAGAGAATGATTAATCCTGGAAGAAGCCGAACTTTGGTCCCATGTTTACCCTCTGGCAAGTTAGCAGCAGAGAATCGAGGAGAGGCCACTAAAAAGAACCAGAGACGCTGGGAGTTCTGTGTGTCCATCCACAGTTCTTCCTGGACTACAAAAGCTCATTTTTCTCTGCGGCCAGGATGGCTTCTGCTCAGAGGTCTCCCGTTCTCCACATTTTCTGCTCACCAAATCCTCAAAAGCTGAACTCCATGTAGTTCAATCATAACATACTATCTCATCTCAAAAATATGTATTTTGATTAACTTTCCATAAAAACAACAAGAGAGTTTATGGATAAATATTCCACATACTACTGCAAAAGAGCAGGGGTCTTTTTCACTACTTGGAAAATGGATACCTCTTTCCTCTTTGCTCTCCTGAAAAAAATTTTCTCAGTTCCTAAAAGCACTGTTAAAGAAATCTGAGCTAATGAACTCTACATGAATAAAAATGATGTCAGGTTTCTATAATAAACATTTAGGGTTGATGGGCACCAATTTAATTGATTGATAATATAGTGTGAGCCACTGCAAGAGCTGTGGTCATTTAGCCATGCCCATAAACCTGTAAAAAGATTCAATCTAACCCCATCTTGTAGCGTCTCAGAGGGAAGTGGCGTCTGTCTTGGAAACAGGAACGCGTATGGTTGGACCCACACATCCTGGCTGTGGGTCCTGACGCAAGCACCTATTAGCTGTGTGATCTTTTTTTTAAAAAAAAATTTATTTATTTATTATGTATACAATATTGTGTCTGTATATGCCTGCAGGCCAGAAGAGGGCACCAGACCTCATTACAGTTGGTTGTGAGCCACCATGTGGTTGCTGGGAATTGAACTCAGGACCTGTGGAAGAGCAGGCAATGCTCTTAACCACTGAGCCATCTCTCCAGCCCCCTAGCTGTGTGATCTTGAGCCACCTTAAGTTTCACTTTCCTCTCTGAAATGTATGAATAACAGCAATGTCTGTTCCAGAGGTCTGTTGAGAGTATGAGCTGTGCTTCTTAAATAAAATCCAGCTAGTACTTGATTATTCTCACAGTAATTGGATAGATCTCCCAGATATATGTCAATGTTGTTTGAAACGGGATAAATAATATCGTGTAGATAAGAAATCCCAAGAGTAACATTTGCAACATGTCTTAGCTAATTCCATTCGACCTCAAGACCCCTTACAAGTACCTCCAACATATAGGATCTACAATCGTCAGACATTATCAAAAGGTCGTCTAGTATTTATTTTCTAACATCCTGTAGTTGCCGTGTGTCTCTTCCTTGTGTTTACTTTCTCATTTTTTCTTTCAAGTTATCATTTAAAGTTCAAGCAAGAATGTAAGTAAGCTACTTAAGCACAGAAAATTCATACAATAGTTTGTTGAGTCCTTCCTTGTAATGACTTTTTCTATTATCTTCTCAGCTAAGACGCCCTCACCCCTCCACACACATACTCACAGATTAGTAGGCAAAAGGCATTGATGGGCAGCAATCTCTTGATTGCTGCATCGGTGTGTTCACTGAAATGCTGAAGCAAGAAGTAGGTCTAAGCTGAGAAGGCAGCCCAAACCTTCCTGGATGCAGATAGAGATTTCCTATCTGTCCCTTTGTGATAGTGGTGAGTGTTTTTCTTCTTAGGGAAGACAGACTGATTGACTTCTGAAAGTTGACCCTTGTTCATTATCAACCCATTAAACACTGGCAGTTAAGAGGATGTCCTGGCAAAAAATCATTGTCAATGCTAACCAAAGATAAATATTTGTTGAGTAACCATGTTTATTTACAGACCGAAGAAATCCTACTGATGCTTTTCTTTGCCTAAACAAACCCCAGTAGAGTTGAAGAAGAGTTCAGAATTTGCTGTATACCTTAATAATTTTTGTAACGAACTTTCTAAGAGGAGGTAACTACATCTGAAACAGGTCAGGAGAAGAACTGAGTTTTCAGGTTATAAATGAGGAGAGGCTGGTAGGGCAAATTCTAGTTCTGTTATCTTCCCAGCTTTGCCCTCAGCACAGCCTTGCCTCTTCTCTTCCTGCTATGGGACTGGTAGACTATATCCTATATCCTGGAACATCAGGAAGTCACAGAAGATAAAGAGCCACTGGAAGTGTGGGTGGACGGGCATGCACCTGGGCATCTTGCTCCTCTTCAGACTCCTTGACAGCTGAACACTGACAGCATCCTTGCATCTATCTCAGCCCAGCTGCTCCTGGAGAGGGACGGAATTCCAGGATATAGGAGGGATGTAGGAGTATCTGAGTCCTGAATTTTGTTACAAGAGACTCTGTCACGAGGCACCTCCCCAAATCATGTAGTATAGATTTCCTCATGTCCTACCTCACATGGGGAAGCACCAGCCTAAGCCTGACAATCTTTTGCTCTTCGCTCCAAGATGATGTTATTAACTGAGTGTACTAGTCAGGGTCCCAGTGAGAAACAGTGCAATATTGAAGCTGACAATTTGAGGAAATGAATTATAAGACTATTTTCAGTTTTGTGGCTAGCATGTTACAATATCTCAAGTAGGCTAGAAGTGGTATCAACACCACAAGGAGAAAGCCCTTGCAGAAGCTGTCTGGATGGGGCTGCTGGTCTCAGCCAAGGTCACATCCGACAGCACAGGGAAGGAGCAAGGGTGGGTGCTCCTGACCTCATCCACTTCCTGGCTGACTGTCTCTGCCTAGGGCTTCCTTGTGACTGAGCCCAGTGGGAAGGCCAAGGGCAAGGAAGCCTGTGTTGGTGCACCTAGAGGTCAGCCTGCAAGCACTGAGCAGGTGCAAGAGCTTACAGGGAGCTTCTGTAGGGGCATTCAGAAGGCTTCCCGATGACCAAGTCAGAGATGACCCCAACAATCACTAATGATGACCTTATGAGCCGAAACACTACGAAATATAGATAAATTGAGAATATGCATAAAATAGGGTTAGAGAAATAGACTCAAATGCTAAATAAACAGATAATTAAATGAATTTCAAAGTTACAAGAAGGAATATTTGAGATGTGTGGCAGGAAAGACTATTCTGAGAACCAAGCCGATGGGACATTTGCAAGAGAGAATAAAAGAACCCAGTGGGTCACACGGGAGAATTGAGCATGCCCAAGAGCACATTAGTGAGCTGGAAAATCACATCAAGGGATCTTTCTGAAGATTCCACGAAAAGACAAAGAGCCCGAGAGTAAACAGCAGCTAGCTATGACGGAAAGGTGAGAACCATCTCGCAGGCCCGATAGATTCAGATAAAGATGAAATGGAACAGGAGACAAGATAAAGACTTCCCAGAATTGAAGACATTACTGGATAAGATTCATCGTGCTGAATATGACACAAAAGAAAAATGAAAAGAAGAAGAATGCACTCTAAATGCGATCTGATGACAATTTCAAACATCAAAAGAAAGGAAAATCAGATATTGGGAATAGTAAAATTGTGAAAGAAGACAGATATACTTTCTTCAAAGAACCAAAAGGGAACAATGTTTGACTTTGAATTTAATAATCAAATGATCGATCATTTATATGTAACAATGCGTGAAATGGTCTCTGGCCTGTGGGTCTCAGAGTTTGCTACTGACACACACTGGCAGTCTGTCCTGCAGCAGAAAGACAAACAAATAGGGAAGGAGATGTGAAAAGATACAGGATGGAAAGATAAAGAGCACAGGGAAGTTGGCTTAGTTTAGTTATACTGGGCCATGACAAGGGACAAAATTATGTCATGATTATCTAGAGGTAGCGCAGTAGGGAGAAAGGGACAAATGAGGAGCCATGAAGAGGAAGTGTTCAAAATGCATCTTCTTTTTGGGGAAATGTAATCTATGTCATCTTCAGATATTTATAGGGAAAACTAAGCAGGCGTAAGGATTTACTAAGTTAGCACTAAGTAGTGTAAGATCAGAAATAGACATTCGAGATTCATACACAAAGAGAATTCTCAGCTATTCCACAGAAGATAGGAAGAAAATTCTTCCTATTTTTGTCTTGATTTTAGTCTAGAAGTGTCATGAAACATCGAAACTGAACCAGCTCAGGACCCGTCATTATTATCTCCTTTTCTCTGTCCCCATCCCAACACTCCACCCCACCTGCCCCCTTGGTCCTCCGCAGTGACACCTGGGGAAACGGTGTGTCCCACCTGCCCCCTTGGTCCTCCGCAGTGACACCTGGGGAAACGGTGTGTCCCACCTGCCCCCTTGGTCCTCCGCAGTGACACCTGGGGAAACGGTGTGTCCCACCTGCCCCCTTGGTCCTCCGCAGTGACACCTAGGGAAATGGTGTGTCCCACCTGCCCCCTTGGTCCTCCGCAGTGACACCTAGGGAAATGGTGTGTCCCACCTGCCCCCTTGGTCCTCCGCAGTGACACCTGGGGAAATGGTGTGTCCCACCTGCCCCCTTGGTCCTCCGCAGTGACACCTGGGGAAACGGTGTGTCCCACCTGCCCCCTTGGTCCTCCGCAGTGACACCTGGGGAAACGGTGTGTCCCACCTGCCCCCTTGGTCCTCCGCAGTGACACCTGGGGAAACGGTGTGTCCCACCTGCCCCCTTGGTCCTCCGCAGTGACACCTGGGGAAATGGTGTGTCCCACCTGCCCCCTTAGTCCTCCGCAGTGACACCTGGGGAAACGGTGTGTCCCACCTGCCCCCTTGGTCCTCCGCAGTGACACCTGGGGAAATGGTGTGTCCCACCTGCCCCCTTGGTCCTCCGCAGTGACACCTGGGGAAATGGTGTGTCCCACCTGCCCCCTTGGTCCTCCGCAGTGACACCTGGGGAAACGGTGTGTCCCACCTGCCCCCTTGGTCCTCCGCAGTGACACCTGGGGAAACGGTGTGTCCCACCTGCCCCCTTGGTCCTCCGCAGTGACACCTAGGGAAATGGTGTGTCCCACCTGCCCCCTTGGTCCTCCGCAGTGACACCTGGGGAAACGGTGTGTCCCACCTGCCCCCTTAGTCCTCCGCAGTGACACCTGGGGAAACGGTGTGTCCCACCTGCCCCCTTGGTCCTCCGCAGTGACACCTGGGGAAACGGTGTGTCCCACCTGCCCCCTTGGTCCTCCGCAGTGACACCTGGGGAAACGGTGTGTCCCACCTGCCCCCTTGGTCCTCCGCAGTGACACCTGGGGAAACGGTGTGTCCCACCTGCCCCCTTGGTCCTCCGCAGTGACACCTAGGGAAATGGTGTGTCCCACCTGCCCCCTTGGTCCTCCGCAGTGACACCTAGGGAAATGGTGTGTCCCACCTGCCCCCTTGGTCCTCCGCAGTGACACCTGGGGAAACGGTGTGTCCCACCTGCCCCCTTGGTCCTCCGCAGTGACACCTGGGGAAACGGTGTGTCCCACCTGCCCCCTTGGTCCTCCACAGTGCTGTCTCAGTCATACCAAGGGAAGTGGTTTCTGATCACCTCACAAAGAAAATCCCTGACCCCGAAGCCTGGCAACAAGAGAACTCCGAGGTTACTCACAGGCTCCACTCAGCTCCTTGACCCCATTCTGAGAAACAGAATGAACTACAATGCACTTTACTGGGCACACGAATTTGAAGTCAGAAACCAGAGCAGCTGAAAAATATTACTTGTTGGAGCCTCATGTGTTACCTGACCATAAACTCACTTAATCACCCATTCATTCAATAGCTACTTTTAATGCACAGGCCTGGTTCTGTACTCCGGGAATTCATAGGTGAATCAGAGAGAGGCCGGGCTCAGCCCTGATATTCAGCCTGGTGGCAGAAATGAACAAGCTTTCCCAATACCCAGAAAGACCTTAAATGGGAGCTTCTTTCTCAATGTTTAAGTTATATTTTTACTGTAACCTCTTCAGAGAGGCCTTTCCTAGGGATTATATCTAATCGCAGAGTGCTGCTGGTTTCTTCTGAAATACACATTGCTGTCCCTGTGTGTTCATTGATTTGCTCTGATCAATGCCTAAAGTTTTCAGTTGAGAAACTGAAGTCCAGGGCATAGCTGAGCACCCCAGAAATCATCATCGAAATTAAAACTCAAACTACCGAACTAATGAAAGACTTTAGATATTGTCCTTGGAACTCAGTTGACATGTATAAACTGTGGTCAATAATCTTTCCTGATATAGAGAATATGCAAGAAAAAGAAAGAAAGAGCATCCAGACAATGAAACTCTCTGTATGCTATAATGTACAGATAGCATATATATGCAAAGAATCTATATTCAGAAATAAAAACCAATAATTATAAATAATAAGCTCAATAAGATTTCAGGATCCAAGGTCAACTTTCAGAAATCAGCTGTATTCCTATCCACCAGTGAATACTCTGAAAAATAAGTCAGTGAATCATCCCATTTACAAAGTGAAGACATCCTGACCCTTACAATGGAAATGGTTCAGTAAACTGTTAGGCTAAGTTAAGGAAGCCATATACAAAAGGCAGCACAGTATTCACTTCCATGTGTATGCATGGAGATGGGAAACGTGTGATGGGGCCCACAGAGGAAGACCAGCAAGTAACTGCTGAAAGATTTGTCTAGGGAGTGATAAGGGGATCAAGAATGAGCACTTTGATGTTTTCCCGATTCTACAGATACACTAGAATCCATTGAATTACGTGACAGGGTGAGTTTCTG